ACAACAAATATCTATTAAATCTATAAAGTAACAACAAATATCTATTAAATCTATTGAAGTAACAACAAATATCTATTAAATCTATAAAGTGACAACAAATATCTATTAAATCTATAAAGTAACAAATACATATTAATTATTACTCAAATTATTATTTCAGTTGTTCTTAATGTATCAAGCGTTTATATGCAAAGAAAAGCCAAAAACTATGGTTTTTATCATTAAATAAAGATATAGCCTAAAGATGCTTTGCGGGTTTTACGGCATAAGCAGGTTTTATTTCAGTATGATATCGATCATGGTTTTTTATTCTGATTTTTCAAGAACATCAAACGGATTTGGAGCACTGCCTCTGAATATACCTACACAAACAACTAGTAATGGTAACTAGATGGTGAATATATTAATAGTACCAAACATTATCACAGAAAACAATAAAAAAAGAAAAACGAGTAAACTCTAGAATCTATTTTGTACGTGAGCCCTTTTCCTTCACCCAGAGCACTACACCTTGTTTTAATGCTACTACAGTTTTTCAATGTAGGATTACCATGTAATATCAATCTCCTCAATTATTACATACCCCATAACACCTACACAGCCTCATGAATATTCATATTGGGAATCTGTGCAGAACAATCCATGATTGTCAGTGTTCCATTGGTCTCTTTACCATCAAAATACCATATCATTATATTTTCTGTATATTGGGCTTACTATCTTGCTAAAGGATGAATTCTGGCCTGATTAGTCATGTTCCTCAGCAAATGGCATGATGGATCAGAATCTGCCCATATTTGTCAGAAGTAAACAGTCTTGTGTAGATCACCATTCCTACTGGTTGAAATGCAGTCTACTGCTCCTCACCGTGCTTAATTATAGATTTTATTTTGGCTAAGATACTGTTTTTTCTCCTCCACCAATGAACAAATTGTCATTGATTGTTGCTGAACAATTCAAACTGGGATTCATCTATAAAGAGCACACATCTCCAGCTTTACTCACCCACTGTTTGTGATCTGTAGCCCATCTGAACCTTTTGGTTACCCTTTCTCAGAAGTTTTCAAGCATCTACACATCCACTTAAGACTACTTCATGCTAATGTGCATCTCACTGTTCTTGAAGTAACCTTTACACCTGTATTTTTTTAGTGCAAGGTCATTGGCAAGATCTGTAGTCAACCACCATCTGTCTCTGTATCTCACAAAGAGCATATCCTGAAATACTTAACATCACTTTGAGATTTCTGGTTTTCTACTTCAACCACTTCTGTTATTAACAGCACCAATTTCATGTGCCATCTGCAGCCTCACATATAACTTCTTTTGAAACATGAAGTCTTATCACAATTTTCACATGGAGCATCACTGAACAGCCAAAACAATTTTTACAGCCAGATTGGGTTCACACAACTATTAATAGGCACAGTATGACTGCCTGTACAAAAATGTATAGGTCTTATACTGGTGTGGCACTTTGTTTCATTAGAAGACAATTAATCACAATGTTAAATATCAAAATGTGTATGTACTTTTGTGTAGTTAATTTTCACATGAGAAAGGAATGATATTTCCATAGTACTTGCCTATTATATTGTTTTTTCCTCAACATGTTCATAATTAATTCCAATACTGTATATTTACTAGGACAAGATTATACTAAAAATTCTCAAGTTATGAAAAACAATAAACTGTTTTAACTAGACAAATTTGTTGCTATTTAAAAACCAACCACACAAGTGAAAATAATTATTTACCTCTTTGTTCATTACCACACTGGGTGAAATTTCAAATTCAGTTCTACCACAAGCCAACATTTTTATTTACATATTTTACGGATTCCTGGAAAATTCTAGTTCTCAGCCATGCAGCATACCTGAGTGTGAAGTCACAACTGCAAATATATAAATCTCCCATAATAAAAACACTAATTTATTGTACACCAAACAACAAATGCAAAAAAGTCTCTAGTACTATTATGTGCTGAGTTTGCACTGTTTATTTCAGACCAACAATACCACTAGTTGTAACTCCACTATAAGATCATCATGATCATTAAACATTCCTTCAGCATTTGGCAGTGACCAGTGGGTGAATGTTAGAATCCAAAACAATTCATCGATGAGTAAGCGCTTGGTGAATAAGAGACAGTGATATATCAAATGATAGCTCTCTTCTGGGTGTTTATTTTTGTATCCAGAAGCATTTTCTATTTGAAAACACACACACAAAACTTCAAAATCATTAATAAATACTTATTCGTAATGTAATTTGAAAAAAAAAACAACAAGATTTTTGGTCTTATTAAATAATTCATAAGTTATATATATATATATATATATATATAAGTATGTCTGCCCAGTACCAACCAACAGCATGTCAAAAAAAAAGGATGAATTGAAACTGTAAGCAGATGAACATTGGCTTGGCAACAGTTTGCTGTACCTCATAGCATAGTGTGAAAGAACTTCCGCACCTCCACAACTTAAAACTACACTGTAACAATTATTGTAAAATATGACGTAGAAATAGTGGAGTTTACTACAGGTACGTATCTGTCACTCATGGTATTTGTGTTTTAACACCAATGAGAATACAATATCAATCCTTTACTTCTACAGATAGGACAGTATGGTGTCTAATTTTTGTTATTTAAAATTCAATGGGACTACCTACACATTTCGCAAGTTGTCTTGTTGCAACACAAGAAAGATCTTATAACACTGTTACACAATTTATATCTATAAAATTACAATACTTACCTCATTCTTTCATGAACAGTTTATTAAAGTTATGTTGAAGATTATAATACATCTTTAAATTTTTACCCTAGGGTATTGTTTGTGTCCAAATGAGTGAAAAATCAATTAACAGAAAAAAGCAAGTCCTACAAGTTAATTGCAAATTGGGTTTTTTTAAACCACAAATATATCAATAACATAATCAACACATTGTTAAGCAGTAAACTAACAATACATCACTATGTCTACAAAAACTTTTCTGGCATGCACACTCACACAAATCACCAAGAATGCAGTAAATAGCACCTCTACTATTCTTTAACGTGTTTAGAGACTATTGCAAATTACCAATGACAGTACTACAGTTAAGAACCTAGCTCATACATGAAAAGTTACTACTTATTATATTTTAATTAAATTCTAAGAACTTTTGAGTGAAAGTAAAGAAAAATGTATAACAATACGTCAACTACACCGCATCTGCGCAAAGTACCATAATTAAGGACATTCAGGCCATTAACCATTTTTGTTGCCAAATCTAAACTTGTTTACTCCGAGTTACTTTTTAATATTTCTATACATAAAACCAAGTAAGAAATTCACAGCTGTTTTTCTGTACAAGATTCCAAATACTTCTGGAATAACATTCATGACAAAACAACTGTTACACAAGGAAAGTTTCTAAGCATAATCAATATAATAAGAAACATGTAATATACATACTTCAACTAGCATGTCACAAAAGAAATTGAGACCAAAAGATTTAGGAGTTGCTCTCCACACTGCCATCCACCCTACGGGCTCAATTACTTTGGTGATATATTCAACCATTGCAGATTCTACTTCACTATTGCGAGCTGCACACAAGATATCTTTGCTATATTTTTCTTGAAGTTCTTCAAATGCATCTTGTTCAAAACTAATTTTATACACAGCTGGGTAACTTGATATGTTGTTCATCTTTTTTTCTTAATTACTTCTATTTCCAAATCTGTAAATATTCAGGAAACACTTTAAAAACAACTTCAAAATAATTCATTCTAAGACTCAATTACGAAAATTTAAAAGTACTCTGAAAAATTTCTCAAGTACAAAATGCATGGTAGTTTAGTTTTTGCAACCAATGAAAAAACTTTCTCGTAGATGAGCCAAAACTAAGTATTATACATGTAATCACTAAGAAAAAAACAAAATATATAAACATCCTTCCTCCTAAATAACAAAATTCAATGCTGTAATTTCCACTTAACTCTTCCCCTTTTTAGATACTACTGTTTTTATTATACTTTCAAATTATATTTTCCTTTAACATAGTCCAGCCTTTTGAAGTAATTAAAGTTTTTCCTTATGTAATGTCTACTAATAGTGTTTTTGCAATACTTTCTACTTAAACCTATCCTTAAATTCTCTATACAAGAAATTCACTATAAATAATAAGGGTATTTTGTAATGGAACTACATATCCAAATAGAAATTTATTTTTATTATATCTTAAATCAACTAATTAATTCACTTGTTTATTACACATAAAATATATATATATATAATATATACAAAAAATTGTAACACCCACTAACAATAATATCATTTCTGTATTAAAAAGTTTGAAAACAAAATCAATATACTAAATAAATTGAAATATTACTCTTTCAAATATTCAATTACATTAACAATAGCACATTATTATTTAAATTTCCATAAACTCCTATGATAAAGCTCTCATTTCTATTTTAATAAGTTTTAAATAACTTTTCTTTAACATATTATGCTTGATTGGTAACCTTGCACATTTACTCTATCAAATTAAGCTGAACGTCAGTAACGAGTAACTTTAACTTACAAACGACCAAAGTTACATTAGTTATAAGTTACACTGTAATATGTAGCTTACAAGTTGCAGTACAAAGTTCCATTTAAATACAGCTTAATTACACACAAATCAGCATTGTAGCCTAATTAGCTTAACTTTTTCTCAGCAAAATGTTAGTGCTATAAAACATTATAGTTTTACTTTTTAGTAATAACTAACACCAGTGAGACTTGAAATTCTTATATATAAAGTTAATGACACAAGAACTTGAAGAAGTTATCTGATTTTGAAATTCAATTTAAAATTTAAATTGTTACTATGAAATTAAATTAATGGATTAGTAACATTTATAAAATATCATTATTCTGACATACAATATTCTTATAAAGTGTCGAACATTTTAATAGTAATTATCAAATTTTTACCTACACAAGTTTATTTGCTCAATTCAAATTAAAGTTTAACTTCTCTATCTTACTTACCCAACACTTTTCTAAAATACCAATCTCGAAGTTACAAACCCCGCCGTTGGCTTTTAAGTTTTAGTACTACAGCGCCATTGCATCGTAAGATTTAAGGTACAAAAATATGTATTATATAAAGAAATCAGAAACATATAATTAATATCAGCGTCTTTATTAGTAGTTTGTTTATAATCTTAAAACATATTAAAAAAAAATTACATCTGTTACGTATCTGCTTCTTTGTTAATTTCCGGAAGAAATTCTTTCCGAGGAACTTCAGCAATACAAGTCCTTTCTTGATTAAACCAGTTTATTCTTTCTCGATACAAACATTTAGTACACAGAAATTCCACTGTCAGTGCGTTTCCGTCACTTTCAACTTAACGACTTTTATAATACCCGCGATTCACACTCTCGACAACTTACCGTGACTACTGTTCGTTTTAACCATACAATTCCAATGCCGCTGGCTTTTCTCGCCAGGCTTATATACTAACAAAGAGGCTTCGACAAAGATCGAGGAGTTCCCTGCTAATTCGAGAAACTCATTCACGCATGCGCTACCAGCGCCAAAGCGCCAGCAGAGTCACGTGACTTCCGCTGTCGTAACACATCTTTCATGCTGTTGAGTATCTGCTCGTTTGTTAATTTCCGGTATAAATTCTTTTGGAGGAACTTCAGCGATACAAGTCCTTTCTTAATTAAAACTAGCTTATTCTTTCTCGATACAACTTTGTAATACACAGAATTTCCACACTCACTTTAAACTTAACAACCTTTATAACACACTGTTACGTCTCTGGCCGTTTGTTAATTTCCCGTATAATTTTTCTCCGATGAAACTTTAGCGATACAAGTCCTTTCTTAAATAAAACTAGTTTATTCTTTCTCAATACAACTTTGCAATACACTTAATTTCCACAATCACTTTAACACACGCTATAAGTCTCAACGAACGATTCACGCACTTTACTTACAACCGTGCTTGACTCAATTGTCCGTCTATATCTTCAATTTCTCTGTCTGCTATTCAATCTCGATTAATTGTCTGGCGCACTTATATACAAGAATAGAGGGCGCCTAGCAAATACTGGATTATTCGTGATGTTCCCCGATCTTTCTAGAATGCATTACGTGTTACCAGCGTCACGTCACTTCCGCTGTCGTAACACTGCCCCTTCCTTAGTATTGTTCGTTCCAAACAATAACCACTTACATTAAACTAATAGAGAATTAACAATAGCTTAATTAAATGTACATAATTTACAAACACCAAATTAAAATTCAACAAAGTCTCTGAATTTTACG